AAAAAGAAAGATTGATGGTATAGAATGCCAGAAACTATACGATGTGTTTGTGTAATATAATATATACCAACCACAAATATATTTTTGTAGGAAAGGCTATTTAAAACTTCTCCACCCTGCTGCCCCTTCTAACAGGAAAATAAATTCAATTTTTGAATGTGTTCAAATATAGCTACTTGTGAATGGCTATCAGGTGGGTCTATGAACTCACTCCTATTTGTTGGAATTGTGTATTTGTACACAAACATTTTCCCAGGGAAAATGCATATTTGTAATCAGATTATCCAAGGCATCTATGAAATTCACTCCCTTTCCCCCCAAAGCTTTAAAAACTACTGGTCTATAGTGTTTGTCTATACATCCACTCAATTAAGAGAGGTTTTTGTTATATTTAAAATTGGCTAAGAAACTAAGTAAAAAAAATGACACTAAAAACACCCACCCCATACACATGCACATACACACACATTAAAAAAGAAAGAAAAAGAAAGAAAGGAAGGAAGGAAGGAAGGAAGGAAGGAAGGAAGGAAGAAAGAAAGGAAGAAAGAAAGAACGAACTATAGAGAGTTTTGGAAAGTATTATGAGAATAGGTAATGATAACTTTTGTTCCTAATGTTCATATGAAATGAAAAAGTTCTTCAGCATCAGATAAAACAGACACTCAGAAAGATAAAATAAGAAGGTATGACTGGTTTACAGAAAGATGTCTCACGATCCCAGAGATGGGGCACAGGGGCTCTCTAGGACTCAGTGTGACAGCATTCCCAAAGGAGCTATTTGTGGGTTTAATTCTTGCCCTGACCAACTTTATGATGTTCCTCCTGGGATAATACCACTTCTTTCTTAGACCCAACATGACCCAAAGTCACCTCAAAATAGTGTCCGAGGTAACTCTGGAAGCTGTATGTAAGAGTGTCATGATTAAATAACCAAGAAAGTACAGAATACCTTGCTTGAAGATACCAGAGGAGGAAGGCCAAAACCCTGTAGCTAATGCAGGATGCTTAGGCTTAGAATAAAAAAGAAATACCTTGCAATGATGCCCATCACCTAAGAGATTCTGTCAAATGTGAGTCATGGGAAGAGGGACTGGACATTGTCACTTGGCTATCAAAATAGAGTTCAGGATCAAATCCAAGGAGAAATATGGAAAACCTCATCCATTCAGCTGAGAGTGTTCACTAGTTGAATTCTTAGTCTCAATGGTTATCGTCCATAACAATCCAGGCGCCTCTGTCCAAAACCATCTCTGTGGGCTGGGGGTAATGGAGGTCTGTGAACAGCAGGTGCCCTCCAGCACAGACCTCACGAGTACATGGGGTCAGAGATGTAGAATTTGCCTGTGAACTCAACACGGGCAGAAGAGGGCCCCCGAGGAAGATAAGAGCATTAGCCACTGACAAAAGTCAGTAATTACACCAGCTGCAAGCCACCAAACAAGAGCCCTGTGGTGGGTGACTGAGCTGTGACCTTGCGAGGGTCTTCCTGTTTCACCCTCTCGCAACCCTGGGGGACGGGAAGGCCTATTCTTCACTCTCCTACTGACGAAACTGGTCTAGAGCTTGATTAAGCTCCCCAGGGTCTTTTCGGGACTGGGAAAATCCCAAGGATGCTATTTTCTAAGTCACCACCCCTTCTCCTCCATTCAGGCTGCAGTCAGTAGTGAGCTGGCTGGCCGGGTTCAGGGTTTCCCGCCTGTCCCTGTGTTCCCTCCATGGTCCATGGCACAGGGCTTGCCTCAGGAGAAATGATCAAGCATGATGTTCCCGGAGGTTTCTATTTAAGCATGTAAAACAAAACAGAACAGGGCCTCCTCACAGCCCATGTCTTCACCTGCTAGGAGGACCAGGAAATGGGTGAGGGGAAGGGCATCCTTAGTCAATCTTTTTTGTGTCAGTTTCTTAATGTTGGAGGCCTCCAAGGGCCTCTCAGGGCTCCACAGAGGTAACTACGGAGGTTCTACAAGGCATTCCCAATCTTCCAGGAGAAAAAAAATACAGAAGCCAAGTGATCTAGGATAAATAATGAAAAATCTGGCTGGAACTTTATAACAGTATAAACTCAGAATGGATGCTTCATGAAGAACAGTTGGCAGTGAGATATGTGCTCAAGTTGTGACAGTCAGAAAGATAATTCTTCCTGGGTAAATGCAGTTCACGAGGTGAGGTCTAGGTGAGAAAAGATGGAGACCACGGCATGTGGGACAGAATCAAGGACCAAGATCTCAAAGTGCTCATTTAGGAAATGTTGGGACTGAAGCACGTCCCTGATCTCCTCTCTTCTGGGAAGCCCTGTCTGAACACTCAGGCTGGGCTAGGGACCCTTCTACCTTACCATGTCTGTTGAAAAGTTTAGCCTGCATGTCGGCTCCTAGCCCAGCTGGAAGGATGCCTCTGCGGGTGCTACTGGTCTCTGCATCTTTCATGCAGAGTGTGGGTGTTGAGCTGAGGGGTTAGGAAATGAGAGCCATAGGAAACCCACACTCGCTCTAAACCACCTGAATCCTGAGGATGGCACTCTCTGGAAACAGGAGCCGCTTTCCCACCTTTCGTTCCTACTCAGCTCAGAGTCAGGGCCCTCTCTCCTCCAGCCAACCCCTGCTCTATGTCCCACCTTGTTCTCCTCTTTAATGTGACTAGCTGCCCTCCTGAAGCCTAGGCTGCAGGGACCAGCAGGGAAAGAGAACCTTCCTTTTGGGTGCTGCCACGTACTCTGGGCAGCCTGTAAGCCAGGGAAATGCCCAGGCCGCCCGCTGAATTTCCTTTTCCACCAGTACTCTGTTCTTACAGATTCTTACAGACCTGGACCCTTCCCCCCAACACACACACACACACACACACACATACACACCAGTCCTGCTCTTCCTCCTAGCCCTCAGAGGAGTGTTCTCTTTCTTCTAAGTATGGTTTCAGAATTCCAGCCATACTACCATTAGGAAAGAGGTACAACTTAGCACTATAACAAAAATGTTCAGGCATATCATAGGAATATTCAATGGCACCCCATCCAAAGTAGTTACTGACACACAGTGTACCATTTGGAAATGGCTGCCTCTCCCTGGTGATCGTGGCATTAATTAGTTATGCATGGTAATTCCCAGAAAAGAGCACTTTCTTTATAAGTTAGTAAATTTCGATTTTATGGCAGGTGTGTTATGTTGAGATTTTTTTATAAATTGTTCGTGTGAGGATAAGCCATACAATTTTACTTTATTATATTTTTTCCTGCCCAGTACAGTCATGAGATACTGACTGAGGGTATATATACTGAAAAGCTACAATTACTATGTACCAAGATAAGATAACGATTTTCAGACAAAATAATGTGGCATACATGTGCAATTTTGCATTTATGGCTTATGAATCTTGCTTTAGCAATTACGTGAGCCCAGAGGATAACTTGGCTTTTTTTCCTTCATAACTCACTGTGTGACCTTGGGAATAACAAATCTTTATTTCTGCATTTCTGGTCCTATAAAATGGGTTCAATACTGTGGGGCTGCAATAAATATTAAACAATCCATGATTGCTCATAGTGGGGACACATAAGGCTCAGGACATGCAGATGTATTTGGGGGTATGGGGAGGATTTAGAGCCAGTTTGTTCTTGGTTTCTTACGATTCATTATCAATTTTTGCTCATTTTGTCCACTGAGGAACTCAGACTCAATTCTAGTGGCTTAGACAAGACACTGGATGCACGTTGTCTTATCTTTTTACCTCTGTGTTCCCTTCCCAATGATGATTTCATCAGGTTTCATTTCATTATATTCTCAACTTTGTTTCTTTGTTTATGAAACACTTCAAATGTTCTGTTTTGGAAGGGGCGAGATTATGAATAAATAATGACAAGAGTATTGCCCTTTGTCATCAGTATAATAGATGATCTAGGCTAATTCAGATTTTCTAAAAGATTTATAAGCAGGAAAGCTTTTAAGAAAATGCATTTAACCCTTTGCATGTCGTCAAGGACCAGAAACCAGGCACTGGTCAGGGGAGCCTCACGGGGGAGGATTCCTTTGGGTACAGCACAGTTTCTCAACCAGCATTCTGAGCCTGGAGCAGGACTGTCTTGTGGACTAGGGGATGTCTGGCAGCAGCCCTGGCTCTGCCGGCTAGATGCTATTGCCCCTCTCCATTCCTTTTGTGGCAAACAAAATTCTCTCCAGACCTTGCCAATATTCCCTGGTCTCAGCTACTGCCCGAGGGCCATCCTTCCTTACCCTACCCCAGAGGTGCAGGAATTTGCTACTAGGATCCTAGCAGAAGGGCAGAGAGCGCAGCACTTCAGGATTGTCCCCCACGGAGTCCATCACATTTTGCCTGCTTTGTTTTGTTTTTGAGCATCCACCACCATTGCTGGGTATTTACTTGGCAATTTCAAAATCCATGCACAGAGGGACCAGAGGGGCAGCAGGGAACAACTGGCTTTGCAAAATCCCCACAGAGGAGGAAGGAGGGCTTGTGCCATTTTGGACAATGGAACTAAAAGGCATATGAATTCCAATTTCATCAAAGTCTTCAATTTTTGCCTTTGACTCAACACCTAATTGTGTCAGGCAAAGGTTCATAAACCTGGAAGAGCAAGATGTCTTTGTGGAGGGGCGCAAGACCACCCCAGTGATTTTTATGTATGAAAAGCCTCGTGTCCCTTTGAATTCAAGGGGCAAATGTGGTCCAACCTCCTTAATAACCAGATGTTTGCGATCATCAGAAATACATCTTTGGCTGTAACCATTTCTCTGTTCTCCAGCATTCAGTCTCAGCAAATTTACATAACAGCACGTGACATGTAGAACGCTTAAAGGCACCGACCATGACAGGACAAATTACACTCATTTTTCAATACTCTTTGCAAGGTGCTCCGCTGCAGGCGCGCGCCGGGCTGCATGCTGGGGCGGTTCTGGTGGGCAGTCAAGACCATCATGCGCTCGCAAACACTCCGTGCCTCTGGGGAGAGGGCTGGTGCAGGGAGGCCCGTGGGGGGCTGCATCACTTACCCGCCGTAGGCCGGGATAGGGGGTGGGGGCGCCGCGGCCCTGAAGGTGTTGTACACGGTGCGGCCGCGGCCTCGCAGGTGCGCCCCTCGGTAGGCAGCTGCCGCGGTGGCAGCTGGATACGGGAAGCCGGGCACTGCGGGAGAGAGAACAGGGCAAAGGCCATGAGATCCACCCTGCCCTTGAGGGGTCTGCTCCCAGGACCCTAGTCCCTGCAGCGCCAAGGCAGCTCCAGCCCCCCAGGAGTTAGGAGGACAGAAGCAGACAGCAAGGCTGAGCCCCAGGGCCATTTGGTGAGGAGGACGTACAGCATTGTTCCCTCTGCCCAGAAGGATGTGGTCAACCACAAACATTTACAAAGAATTCTAAGAATAGGAGAAAGACTCACTGAAAACTTAATTTTTTAAAAAAAAGGTAGATTGCAAGAAGTATCTACCAACATCTCAGTATACATCTATTTATGTATATACATATATATGCATTATATACATGCATGTATTCATGTTTCTAGTGCATAGTACACATGGACAGACATGCATGTTTGTATGGGGGCAAATGTGCATGTAACTGCATATGAATATATGCATGCAAGTACAGCTATATCTGTGTGCATATGTATATACATACATGTTTTTATAGACATTAACACATATTTCATACACTAGTGGCTATTTCTGGGGCAGAATTGCAGTAGAGTTTATTCATAACTTTCCCTCTTCTCGTTTTTATGTATTTTTCACATTTCCCTTTAGGTCCTTATGACTTGTCAAAATTTTTTAATTGAAGCATTCCTACAGACACCTCTATGTGTCTTGAGTACACAAACCACAATCTTGCCCCTAAATAGATGGTTACTAGCATATCACGAGCCCCCTGATCGCCTACACAGCTTTTAAAAGCAAACACAACCCCCTTAAGCTATAATCAGAAATATCTGGGAACTCAACTCTCAGGAGATGGTAGATGGGGTTTTCTTTCCTGGGGGAAATTCTCTGAGTCACTTGAGTCAGGAGGGAAGGTACTCCTGACAATTCCTTGAGGCCTCTACCTGGGAGGTCCTCTCTCCCATCTCAGGAGCCTCCAGGAGCCAGTTCTGTGCCCAGCTGCTGGGGCTTCTCTGAACCTCCCAAGGCTCTCTCCCTATGCCAACGGAGCCTGTCCCAGCATAGCAGCCAGCCGCTTCCCCAAACCACATCCCATGCAGGGGTACATTCTTGGGAAAATACATTTGAGAAACTATGGTGCCAGGAGAATCATAGTAGAAACTCAGAAAGGCCTTCTGAGAAGGAAGTTCATTGACTCAACCCACTGGATTGATTCCCTTCGCCAGGCTTCCGCAGAAGCCCTGGCCTCCCCTGTGTGTTAGATGCCTGCTGTGCTAAAGCTGCCCGGCGGGCTTGTCTCCCTCCTACCATCTCCTTTGGGAGTGCAAGCTTTCCGTCTCATGTCTGCTCCCAGCCCTTCCCTGGACCCAGGCATGGCTTGTGGAAGGAGCACAGAGGAAAAATGGACGTTGGAAGGAAAATGGAAAGTCCACTCGAGAGACCGGAATCACTAGCTGCTACCTAGGGGGCTGGCGGGCAGCCATGTAGTGACCAGGGTGTTCTGAGAATTACACCGTATACTCACAGGCAGAGTAGGCTTGTCCCTACCAGATGGCCAGGGGGGTGGAGAGCAAGTAAAATTTCCCACAGAAGCAATTCCCCATTGCATACCACTTCTGAACTGGAATAGCACCCTTGGGCTTGAAGGGGAGACCAACTGGCTATCCTGATCCAAAATTCAGTGCCTGTTCTGGAATGGCAAAGAGACTCTACCCCGTCTTTCCCTTACAGTGTTGGTAAAATGAGAACATTGCAGGACCAAGCCAGAATGACTTCATCTTCTGTTTGTATCTGAGAAGACCATAAAGGTTATTTTTAACTTTTTATTATTGTGGTAAAGACAAATCATGCCAGCCCCCAGCACCTGAGTTTCCTGGATCGCATTGCAACCCACATGCCAGAAGCCACAGGAGGCTGAGTCTTAATGGGGAGTGTGAATCTTAACACCATCAAACCCCAGCAGCAAGGACAGGACATGGGAGACACTGCTTCAGGACTGGGCAGGAAATGAGTGGCCATAGCTTTGACTCCAGGTCTACCTTGCAGCATTTCAGACACTACGTCTTCACTCTGGATTTTGAAATAAAGAAAACGAACAACACACAATCTGTCCGGCCAGCTGGCTGCCTGTTGAGGACACAGGGTGATCATGCTGACCCATTCATCCTCACCAGCTCCTGGGCTGCAGGAGCCACAAAAGATCCCTCTCAGCAACGAGCAGGTTTTACAATGATTCTTGGAGGATTTAGCTGTTGAGAGGGAATGTGAACCAGAAGTTCGGCCACCGGGCGAGGGGACATATGCTATTGAGTGGAGCCAGGATTCCATTTTGGGCCCTCTTTGTTCCAGGGAAAAACACGTCTTTCCCTGCAGCAGGAGGTATTTACAGGTAGGTCCTCCTAGGAGGCTCTCTGGGCTCCTCTGGGCAGGAGGACAAGAGGGATCCTTGTTGGGTTAAAGGGATGAAGACGGAAGAGCACTTCCCTGCAGAATGTGACCTCCCTGGGAGGTGAAGGCCCTGGGGCAAAACCTCGAGCTGCAGAGGCCGGGCCAGAGGCCTGCTGGACAGCAGCTCTGTGGTGCTGGTTGTCTGTCCAGAGCTGGCCCTACTGAGCCATCTGGATCAAGGAGCTGCCCTGCCTTCTTCTCATTATTGCTCTTTCCTCCCTCCCTCCCTTTCCTTCCCTGTATCCTTCCTTCTAATCCTTCCTTCTAATCCTTCCTTTCCAACCTTTTTTTTTTCAGATTTCCTTTGAAGACCACTGCCCTGATCCTCCAGTGACACATGTGAAGTCAGGTCTCCTGGGTCACAGAAGCACAGGACAGTGCCCGTCACTGACCGGCAATGTCTGGGAGGCGGGGCTGCCCCTCCTGTGTTCTGACTTGGAGGCGTGGCCTGGCACCTGCAGGTATCAGGTACCTCAACCCTGCGGCCAGCCAAGGTAGACTGATTCCCTGGGGGGAGAGTAGGGCCCCTCTTCACTGTCCACCTTCTGTTGCAGGGTCCTGTGGGCAGGTGGCCTGCACAGAAGCTGCAGGACACACGAGGGGAGTGACGTCTGGATGGCAGTCGGGACCCCTGGAAAGCTCATTTCTACTTCCCCACTGAGAGGTGCCGGGAGGGTCCAGATGCAGCACGTGACTCCGAAGGAAGGAGGGGCTGCTGGACCAAAGTTCTGCGCTGGAACTTGAGAGCCTGGATGCCCCTCCACCTACAGCCACACGCCCTGCAGAACAGATGCCAGAGTTTGGAAACGGTCCATGTTCTGGGAAGCCCCACTTCCCCCACAAGTAGTACTAGTGAAAGGCCTTCATCCCTTGGCTCCCTCCAGAGTCCCAACCAGCAACGCTCCGTGAACACGGTAATCGTGCACAACAAGGAACGCAGAGAACAACAATCTGCACGACCCCAAACTCCTCAGATTTGTGGCTGCACCTTCCCTGTTAGAGGATTTCCCCCCAGTGGCTGGGTTAGGGCAGTGTGGCTCTCTTGTGGTACCACGAAGGCCAATGTTCAACTTCAAGGACAAATAAACCCCCCCACAACTGTTTATCAAGCTTCCCTTAGGCTCCATAGGAGATGGATGGAGCGGATAGTTTTCTTCCATGGCTATTGGACATGGCAGTTTGTAGATGCTGGGACATGGCTAAAGGTAATCTGAACAGATGATTCTGATACAGTTTCAACAAGACCAAAATGTCATGGCATGACACTTATATATGTTTTTTGAGTGAAAATCCTGAGTTCCCGGCATGTGGGAAACGAGAGAGCAAACCCACAGGTCCCTCTTCAACTTCATCCAGCATGAATCACAATGAAAAATCTGTATTGCTGTAATGAAAAGTAGATGTAGCTCTCAAAGAAAAGGAGGCAGGAGTTTCGGAGCACGTGCACCTCTTACTGACGCACGGCGGTTCCCAGTGCCCCTCTCACTCATCGGCAAGATTTACACCAGAGCATATCTTGTGGACCTTAGGGGAGTAACCACCTCATCCTTGGGAAGAACTCCTATAGGATGGGATGCAAAGAGATGAAACTTTAGGGACATAATGGGAAGCTTGCTGTGCAGGGTACAAGGACCAAGCCAATCAGCATTTGGAAATGGGACATGTGTGGATGTATCAACAAGCCAAATGGGCCATTTACCAAGGTGTCCGCTGCTCACTGCCCATCTCCCCCTGGAAGACAAAGCCCCACCTCCCACAACTCTGCATTCAATGTATTTACAGTGACTCACGCGGCTCCCCCCCCCCCTTTTACGAACATGGTGCTTACCTTAGAAAATAAACACAAATGAGCTCATTTCACCAGCCTAGAAATCCCCAGAGAAGAAGCACAAAACCAGTGGAAAATACTTGAGGGTTATAAACTGCATATTAAAGTTTTAGAGCTCTGAGAGAGATGGGAGAATAGCAGATGCAAAACCCAACAGGGGGGCAGATTCTGCATCAAAGCCATAAAAATATACAACCGCTTTAATGGGCAATTATTCTTTGCATTTGTGCTCTGGTTTGAATTTGCATGAGATTGCCAGATGCCCTGGTAAAGGTGTGCCATCAGAGAGGATGGGGGGCTCTCTCTTTGTCTCACACCTCCTCTCCATTTGCTTCCCCAGTGAAACCTTTCCCACCGTTGGCAGGTTGGAAAACAGAGAGAAGCACATGCTAATTTGAGGTGGAACTGTTCTGTGGGTAATTTATGGAAGGGAACGTTTGGTCACACAATCCCAGGGGTGTGGATGCACTTTCAACAGCAGGTTCAGGGTTTTGCAGGATCCCCTCGAGGGCATTCCCATTCCATGTGCCGGACCATAAATTAAGAGGTGGCAGCACATGCAACAGACCAAGGCTACATAAACAGCCAGCCTTAGCTTCCGGAGCTGCAATTTCAGAGGCAGGGCATTGTGTGATAAACATCGAGAGGAACAGTCAAGAAAATCTGATCATTTTTCCAAATAGCAAAACAAAAGAAAACAAAACAACAACAAAAAAACCCCGTTTACTTCTGTTTTCAAAATGAATTTCAAAGTTC